CAGAGGAAAGGCGAGACGCACATACAACTAGACTATGACTGTCAAAATTAATATTGGAACTTTGCGCTGGCTGCTAAGAATGGGAACGGATTTTCTTGTCTTCCCAGTGACCCACGACAGCTGCTCTCTCCATCGTCATGCTAGAAGTAGTTGAAGTGATTGCCTGATTGTCTTCCCATTGACACACGACATCTGCTCTCTCCATCGCCATGCTAGAAGTAGTTGAAGTGATTGCCTGCTTTTTTTGTCTTCCCAGTGACCCACGACATCTTTTCTCTCCATCGCCATGCTAGAAGTAGCTGACGTGATTGCCTGCTTTTTTTGTCTTCCCATTGACCCACGACATCTTTTCTCTCCATCGCCATGCTAGGAGTAGTTAAAATGATTGCCTGCTTTTCTTGTCTTCCCAGTGACCCACGACATCTGCTCTCTCCATCGCCATGCTAGAAGTTGATTGCCTGCTTTTCTTGTCTTCCAGTGACCCATGACAGCTGCTCTCTCCATTGCCATTCTAGAAGTAGTTGAAGTGATTGCCTGATTTTCTTGTCTTCCCAGTGACCCACGACAGCTGCTCTCTCCATCGTCATGCTAGAAGTAGTTGAAGTGATTGCCTGATTATCTTCCCATTGACCCACGACATCTGCTCTCTCCATCGCCATGCTAGAAGTAGTTGAAGTGATTGCCTGCTTTTTTTGTCTTCCCAGTGACCCACGACATCTTTTCTCTCCATCGCCATGCTAGAAGTAGCTGACGTGATTGCCTGCTTTTTTTGTCTTCCCATTGACCCACGACATCTTTTCTCTCCATCGCCATGCTAGAAGTAGTTAAAATGATTGCCTGCTTTTCTTGTCTTCCCAGTGACCCACGACATCTGCTCTCTCCATCGCCATGCTAGAAGTTGATTGCCTGCTTTTCTTGTCTTCCAGTGACCCATGACAGCTGCTCTCTCCATTGCCATGCTAGAAGTAGTTGAAGTGATTGCCTGATTTTCTTGTCTTCCCAGTGACCCACGACAGCTGCTCTCTCCATTGTCATGCTATAATTAGTTAAAGTGATTGCCTGCTTTTCTTCTTTGTCTTCCTCCTGACTTGTTCCAGCGTGATGCTAACCACAACACCAATCACGCACCGACTGGTGTATAATATCTAGGTCTAACCCTACATGCCCAATAAGCCTGAAGGCGTGGAAAGGGTCCTTTACTTTATTTACATACTGACCCATGACAGCTGCTATATCCATTGTCATGCTAGAGGTAGTTTTAACTGAATGCCTGATTTTACTTCTACTGTCTTTCTATTGACATGTACAGATGCTATCTTCATTGTCATACTGGGTTCTGAAGGAAGATAACAGGTGGAAGGAGAAAAAGAAATCACATCTAATCTACTACTGGCTGTCCATAATTTTGCCATACATTAATATGTCCTGCAGCTGAATCAAAACTACAGAAATCCAGCATCCAAAGAGAAGACCAACTGGTGACACTAGAGACATTATAAACATGTTCCTAAGCTCATTAACTATAACTTTATTACACTGATTTATTACATCAAGTTCTCGTGAAATTTGCAAAGTGTATCAACCTCAAATGATCTGATGTGAAAACAAGACGGCATCCAAAGAGAAGACCACCTGATGACACTAGAGACATTATAAAGGCGTCCCTAAGCTCATTACCTATAACTTTATTACACTGATTTATTACATCAAGTTCTCATGAAATTTGCAAAGCACATCAACCTTTGCATCGCAAACGATGTGGTGACTCTACAGTCTCGACACAGGCAAAAATACACATTTACAAGAAATGAAATTTATTAACATTTTTTTCAACTGGTACAATAGCCTGCGATACCCATCTAGACATGGATAACAGACTCACAGCTATACCATGTAAACATTAAAAATAAAGCAAACAGCACACCACATTTGCTTCCAGGGCCCATGTGGGAGGCAAAGAACAGTCACACTAGTCTATCAGGCTTGTCATAAGAGGCTTTTAAGGAGGGTTGGCATGAAAATGGTGACACCATCCAACAGAAAACCTAGTTGCAGAATCCAACAATGATCATCATATAGCAGATCCTTTGTAGAACGTCGTTATCACAGCCCACCTGAAAGAAACATGGTATCTTGCCAGATCTCCCTCCTCGTGCACATTTCTACTCAAGGTGTTATCTACATCCTGTGCCCATCTTAATGTTGGTCAGTGCTTGAAATGGCCAAAACATTTCAGTTTCCGAAGCAAGATGCTGTTTACCAGCCAATCTTCCTTGGATGTTTAGATCTTTTAGAATGTCAGCATTTCCTTTCTTCTTGGTCTATGGTATTGTGTGAATCTTTCTATAGCACTTCAGTTCACTTTTGTATCTAACGACCTTTATCTTTTATCTCCCTTTATGTCTTTAACTCTGTTGGATCCACTGCAAGGACTATCACGTTTTCTTAATTTGCATCCTACCGATCACCAGTGTCTTTGTTCCCACCCTTTCATTCACTAGATTTGTGAAGTTCCCTTCCAAAGATATCAGATTATAATGGATCTTACACAATCTATACTATGATACCTAACTACAATAAACATACACTACCCTTTCATTCACTAAATGTGTTAAGTTCCCTTCCAAAGATATCAGATTATAATGGATCATGCACAATCTATAACAGGATACCCTACAACAATAAACATACATTTAAAAAAAAAAACACACGTTATCTTTAACTCATTTATCTAAATCTAAAGGTGCAAACCACGATGAAGGAGGGCTTTTCCTGTATTCCCAAATATCATTTGCCTGGGCATTTTGTAAACGAATCTTCCTTCTCTCTCGTTCAGATTCTAAAACTGCCTCCTGAAAGTAAACAGCATTAATTTAAACAACAGAAATGAAAATCAGCTTGAAATATGCAAGAGGTAAATTAACTTGAGCATAAAAGACTACTACAAAGAAAGAGGGAGTGTCAATCACAAAGTGGTTATGCAACTGGCTTCACACTCCTAAGGTTGTGAATTTCTTCGTCTTCTGCATTGTTCGTTCAAGTGATGTATATGTGCTGTGCTTGTTTAAGGCACAGCTGTGATTTGGGCACCTTTCTGCCGATGCATCAACTTCTTCTGGCCTTTTTTCCCCCGGGGTTAGCCTTCCTGGTTAGTTTCGTGGGACCAACAGGAACACTTTTACAGTCTCATATGCGACTTCATAATCCCCTGGTCTACAGATGTTGCCTCTAGAGAACCCTTCCTGGAGAGCCATGTGCAGAATGTTCTACCCTTAAAGAAAGGCAGCAGGAAAACAGAGGCGCTCCACACCATCCAAGGAGGCCGTTAATAAACAGAGAAACTTCCCACTTTGGAAATGTGGTTTCTGAGAAAAATGTAAAATTTAAATGCATAAAACACACATGAAGGTACAAAGATGGACAGACATATAAGTAGGTTTGAATGTGGGCAGGTAAGATAGATTAAACAGCCAAATGTAATATATATGTAGGTAGGTCTGCATGTGTCTGTGGCTGGGAGGGTAAGACAGATATGTGGGTAGTTACGTAAAGCAGGTGTGTAGATAAGATGGAGAGACAGGTAAACAAACAATAGAGATAGGTGAGCACGGGTGGGTAGGTGGAAGGAGGTTAAGTGTGGACGGGGGTAAACAGATAAGCTAAGTGTATAGATAGGTTATACAGACAAATAAATAAAATAGGCAGAGGCTGGTGGGTGCAACGAATTGGTGGAAAAGCGGGGGATGAGGAAAGAGAATAAATGGAAAAAAGAGAGAGAGAGAAAGAGAGAGAGAGAGGTGGGGGGAGGGAGGGAGAAAGAAAGAGAGGGAGAGAGAGAGAGACTCTTACAGCTGCCTTCAAGTCTTTCTTATGTCGAAACTTCATGCAATTCTCGTAGTCGGTCAACCAGACAGCACAGTTGTTCTTCTGGCCATCTATATAGTGTTGATACAGACGACTGAACAAGGCTGGAACAAAGAAGCACAGTACCCAGTCATACTTCACATATAATTACTAATAGTCTTCTTCTTCTTGTATATATATATATATAATTATATTGGGGGTGGGGGGTGTGCGTGCGTGTGTGTGTGTACATATGTGTGTGTAAGTAAATTAAAAATCAATTTTTACGCCTCTAGGCGCGTCGGGCATATGGGAAGAGCACCCATATTTTTACAGACCAATCGGCACAAGGTAGGTAATGTGGTCAGCATTACGCCGGCCATCTTTACTTCCCCCAGGACAGCCATCCTATTAACCATTTTAGGCTGGGTCGACCTGTGACGCCCCATACCATGATAGAAATCCCCGCGTGTGTGTGTGTGTGTGTGTGCATGTATGTATGCAGGTGTAAGTGAGTGAATGGGTGGGTGGGCATGTGTATGTAGGTGTGTGCATGTAAGTATGCTCATACATTTTACCACCTATGCTTTTGTGTTTTTCTTGGTATTCATAATATGCGAATTATTATATGTTCATAACATGCTTTATTGATTATATACTACTGCTATGCGAAAGGTGGGTGTTTTGAAGGGCCAAATGTAAGATGGTCCGACGTGCCCAATTTTTAACCCTTTGAAAATAAAGTTCATTCACTCGTTCTTGAGCCTTGTCGTCTTCTTCCTCGCGTTCAATGGCTGTAAACTCCAGCAAAACTTCTGGTTGTTCATCCACTTCTAGATTTCAGTCGTGTCCTAAATGCTAAGTATAATCATTTTACAGATCTGGCTTATTTGTATGCAGACTGCTGGTTCCTGGCTTCTCAGGCAGATGGGAACTCAGACTTAAAAGGAAATAACCCTGATTTTGAACTGTATGACATAAGTTAGTTGGTTGCGTATCCTTTACAGGACGTTGCAGAACCAACCCCAACAGCCCCTGGCTGTTGTGTGGTTTTTCTAGGCAAAATTATGTCCAGTAGTTTGCCATTGCTTTGTGGACGGTTGGCTTTCTTGATACCACTGTCAAAAGCAATGGAAGGCGCATGACCCACAGCTGGGATCGAACCCGGCATTCCCGGTATTATGAAGCGTTCGCATCGATTTAGCCACAGAGCCGACACAAAGGGCATTACAAACAGTAAAAATGGGCAGAGGAGTGCACTGGGCGAGGATACAAGCCTTATCCTAGGAAGAGGAAATGCAGCCTGAAAACTGTATGTTATGGCAGGGCAGACCAGGCTTGGTTGGCAGCTGGTCTAGGAGGGAAGCTACGTTAGGTATACAAGCAGACAGAGCACTGCTCTTCTCATGTGGCAGCTTTTGCAGCATGCTTTGTTTTAAATGTATAAGAGGTACCTTTACTTTGGAAAGTCAGGCAGAGAGTGCGGCCATGCAATACATGGTCTCTACAACATAGCCCAGGGTTTGTGAAAGCTATGTTTCTTCTTCTTCAGTATTTTGAGCCTTTGAGGTTCAGTGCTCCAGATTTCACTTGCCTCAATTCACCTTTTTGGTTTCCTTCTCTCTTTCCAGTTGGTAACTTCAAGAGTTTATAGGTCTGCGTGAATATTATCTCTCCATCATCGTATTGGTCGCTTCTTGGTCTCTAGACCAGTGGTTCTCAACCTACCTAATGCTGTGACACTTAAAAACAGTTCCTCATGTTGTGGTGACCCCCAACCATAAAATTTTTGTGTGTGGCTACTTCACAACTTCAGTAAATGTGTTTTTTTTCCCCTGTGGTGCCGACTCCTGTATAAGGGTCCTTGGATCCACAAAAGGGTCACAACCCGTAAGGTTGAGAACCGCTGGTCTAGACTATTGAACTCCCTTATCTGTACAGTTTTTACCTTTCTGGCTTCTGATATTTTCTCAGTATGCTTCTGCCATTTCAGTCTATTAGTCTATTATGATGCCAGTGATCAACGGTGTTTAAACAGAATAATCATTTCGCTGTTGCTTCTCACTGTCCTTTCCCCGCTGTTTGCATCCCTGGCCTTTTCATGCCTCTCTATAGTGCAACATAACTCTACTGTCTAGAAAGACAGACAGGAGTCAACCAGCACACTGACATGTAGAGATACACCAGGAACAGGCATACTGGTGACGACCTATCTACACATATCTGTGATTATCATAGACACAAGTTACTTACTAAAGGGCCTTATGAGAAACCACCAGTCTGTACACTTTATTCTCCATATTTCATCAGAGTTATGTCAACTATGTTGTGCCTTTTTATAGAAAAGCTGCTGTATTTGCACTTTTCGGCTGATAAATCTTGACTTTATCGAGTCAGTTTCCCTGTTGGTTTCATGGGAAGTGAGGCAGCATTTTTGTGTGTGCTGTCCTCTTTGTCCCTTCATCTACAAGTATTGCCACTGGGAAATCCATCTAGAACAACCGCATGTAGACTGTTCAGCCCTCAGGCGAAGGCAAGGACAGAACATGGACTTTTCCCACCATATTTGGAGCCTTCCATAAATGCAGAGCCGACACATAACACTCTGGCCTGGGCTCATCCAAGGAATCGATACATCCTGCACACGACTGCTTAACCTCAGATCTGTATGTTGAGTTTCCCACTCATCATGGACTGTGCCTTTTAGACGTTGACATTAATGCAGTACAATTAGAAAGACGTTTCTCTGGAGCCCACAGAGCAGAAGAAATAGACACAGACTTAAAATATAGGGAAGAGAATAAGAGATGAATCATTTGTGGAAGGGATGGATGGCGCCACAGAATTCAGAAAAGGACAGGAGATGCCTGGTGTGAGCTGTTTAAGGGTCTAGGTTTCAACAGGGATATCCCTGTGTGGTTTCCTGGGCCCCATTGTGGGGGAAAACAGGAGTAGACCCACTGCCTTCCTAACAAGCATGTCATTAGAGTCGATTAATCGGGGATTTCCTTCAAAGTCGGAGTGCATCTGTCTGAGAGGCAAAGAACCAACAGTCTGAATACAAATAAGTAAGACCTGTAAAAGGAATGTGCACTCAACACTTCTGGAACAAGTCTAAAGTCCAGAGGTGGATGAACAACCGAGAATTTTCAGACTGAGCTTACAGCCAGTAAATGCGAAGAAGAAAGAAGAATAGAGGATAAACAAGGAGAACATGAAGAAACAGGAGAAGTGAAGAAGTTGAATGTATATTACATACCTTTACAATCCTTATACTCTTCTTTATATACTTCACATGGTCGTATCTGTGACAAATACAAATGGAAAGAATAATGATGTCTCAACTGATATTTCTATGTTTTTGTCTCACGCAATGGAGCTGAGTTATACCTCTTCTTTACATGTCTACAATACTGCATAATGTATCTGCTATCTGACTTATTATCATCAAATGCCAGCTGGCATAGGCGTTCATGCATCTTCACAGAGTTCCCTCAGTGTTTTGTGTTCGGACCAATTCGACTGATGATATTCCTCCACGCTACTGAGTTAAGCCAACCACCATCATTTCTCTTGGTCTGTCTCTGCCTTTTCTACCAGTGATCTTTCCAGTGCTTTTTTTTTTCTCATCACATGACAAAAGACCTTCGCTTGTCTCCTTCTCATTGTTGTTCTACTTTCATTAGCCTTTCCATGCAATCATTGTTAGTTATTCTGGCAGTCCAAGGTATTCACAACATTCTTCCCAAGAACCACATCTCAGTTGCCTCCAAACTCTTAGCTGAGCTTTAAATGTTGAATTAAAAATCACAGCACTTGGGACATTACCATAAGTGCTCAGTCCCCATCTTCAGCAGCAAGCGAAGAGTTCCAATTCCGATGGCACCAGTAACCATCTGATTGCATATCCATCTAATCCCTCCCGTGAGCGTTGAGCATCGGCCAGATTCCCTGTTAACTCCTCGCAGCGCCATTCTCTTCAGACCATAAGATACATCAATTCACCACCAAGTGGTGCGGAGCTGGCCAGTCTACCTGCCTGCTCATTTCTCAACACACCGGCAGAACCTGCAGAAAATATCCAAAGGATGCTAACTACAAGGGACCTCTAAAGTGATGCTTGCCACTCTGCACGAAGCATGCCTGTCTCCACCTTTCTTAACATGCTCTATGAGTCATGTTACAATCATGGCATGTGTGTTCAGCTGTTTCTCAAGCCAGCAGAAGGGAGCAGATACTGCCTCCACCTCCATTCTCAAACTAGACGTTGTGATATCATATGCCAGGCTTTGCCGCACTAAGCGACGTCCATAAACCCCCATGCACTTCGTCTGCTCCTCAACACAGAGCCATCTGTACAGATAACTTGGGCGGGAATTGTCATGAATCATTTGTTGAACTTCTGATTCTGTAGCACCAGCTGGCCAGTCTCTACACTCATGACCTAACATGATTAGAACCCTACACAAGTCTGAAACTTGTTCAGACACCCTGACCCACTCCTTTCCTCACACAAATTTATCAAGCCTGCACACATGTCCAATTGTGTCTTCAGTTTGCACCATCCAAGACCTAGAGATATGGATTCAAGTGGATGATAGACTGGTTAAACTACATATAACTCCTATACAACATTTCCAGGCAAAACTTCCGGCCAAGAGAGAAACTAGTGGAAGCCAAACTTTATGGGCTGCTAAGTGAATTACAAAAGACATTGACGTTCATGCCAGAGACAGCATTGTAGATATAGATATTTTATTTCAAGAGAACAAAAGAAGAAGAAGAATATAACTCCTCTCCGTGATCCTTTGTGCATAAGCAGTCGGACAGAAGAAGACAGACTGGCTCATGAAGACACTTTTTAGGGATGTCTATCTGGCTGTGCGTTAAAAGCACATTTGTTTCTTCAACAGGAAGATCAGGACAGGCAAGCTTCGTGCAGAGTGGCATGCCTCGCTGCTGAGGACACGGGTGACGAGTATTGTCTGGATTTTTTCACCAGTGTGTTGGGAAATGAACAGGCAGACAGACTGGCTGGCTCTGCACAGCTTGGTGGAATAATGATGCATGATAAGGCAGACGTGGTTAGTGCCCTGTGGGAGAGCGTGTACAGTTAGGAGGAGCAGATGGATCACCACAGTCTGGTGAGACTGATGCAGGGGGGCAGTGATGGGAGGTTCTGGTAGATGCTCAAGACTCAGAGGAAAGGCAAGACAGACGTTTAATCAGAAAGCTACTGGCACCATTAGTATCAGAACTCTTCGCTGGCTGCTGAAGATGAGGATGGAGCGCTCATGTGAATGCCCCTTGATGTCCGTTCTTGAATCAAACCAAATGATGTTCCTTTAACAAGGCGATGTTGTCAGTTACATGAAGAAATAAATAAATCATAGTGTGGTCAATAGAGCTTTCTATTTGTATGTTATATTATGTGCCCATTAACCTCTGCTTGTGTTCTCTATGTCTACATGTTGCAAACAAAACCTGTTCATTTATTTATCACATGTTACTGTGCGTAAGGTTCCCAAAATTAGAATGATGACCACATGAGCCTATATTCTTGTTACCTGAACTTTTCATTATTTTTCGTTTTGCAAATTTCATAATCACATTTAGCCAGCAGTTTATTTATCAACTCTATCTTGCACAAGTCTTTTATAGCGAATATGGAACCTAGCCTGGTCCTTTAGACATTTTTTTTTTAAAACATTTATTTAATTACAGGTTTCCTCTTGAAGGTCTAGCATGAGAATGGAGGTGGAGGTAGTAATGGCAGCTCTCCGGTGGCTAGAGAACAAGATGCATACACATGTCCTAATTGTAACAGATGCTGAAAGCATGCTGACAAAAGTGAAGACTTCTAGCAGAGTGGCAAGCTTCACTGGATAGGTCAAGGTGGTAACCATACTTTGGATCTTTCCTCCAGGTGATGCCAGTGTGGTGGGTAAAGAACAGGCAGACAGATTGGCTGGATCTGCACCCCTGGGTGGTGAGTTGATACATGACGTGGCAGATGTGATCAAGGCCCTTTGGTAACAAGCAACAGAATCAGTGGAGAAAGAAGATTATTATGGCCTGGAGAGGATGAGGCACCTGGGTGTAACCAGAGAGTCTGGCTGGCTCACTACACTCAGAGGAAAGGCAAGACGGACATATAACCAGATTGTGACCAATACCATCAGTATTGGAACTCTACGCTGGCTGCTGAAGATGAGGACGGAGCATGTATGGAAATACCCTGAGTGCTGTGATGTCAATTCTTAACTCAACTCAACTCACCTCTTGAAGGTCTTCTTTCCTCATAGTCTATTATTTATGTTTTCAGTGCCTGTTTTAGGATTTATGTCCACCTTCTTCTAATCTGTCCTTTGATGACTGGCTAATACTAATAATAATTGGCTATCCTCCGAATAACGGCCACATATTATGGCGGCCAAAAACACACCCCGACAGGGCCTCAATCACTTGTAAATTGGGGACTTCTTTTCGGTGAATATACAGCGGAAAAAGTAGGATAAATTTCAAGGGTTGATGTCGCGAAACGCAACAAAACATGCGGTATAAGTGGGATTAATTCCCTGCAACGATGTCGCGAAACACAACAACCGCAGAGTTAAACTGGCTGCCAAGAGTTTTCCCAGCACCGCGATGTGTAGCATAGACGCGTAGGGGATACTCTTGGCAGTGGTGGTATGGGCTATTCTCCGAATAACAGCCACATATTATGGCGCCCACAAAAACAGCCACAATCAGCAGATTTTCGGGCACTATTTGCAACTTCTATGCCACAATTTTAAGATATAAAGGTGTCAATTATCAGTAAGTAGTCACTTTCATTTTCCCTTATTTTTTGTTCCTTTTTATTTTTGAGTTGAAGTTTTTAAATGTTTAAAACACATGACCTAATTAGGCCCGGTCAGTGTGTTTTTTGGCCGCCATAATAAGTGGCCGTTCGGAGGATAGTCTAATAATCAATATGAATTTCTGAAACTGATGACATTATTTTAATAATGCTTAGATACTGGGAAGCGAGGAATGTATTCTGCTTCCACATATGCCAGATTTGTAAAACAAAATACATGAGCATGCAAAACTGAAAAACTCGTCTCTCTTCTCATCATTGCATGTAAATTGTAAATGTAAGAACAATGTTACTCTTTGTCCCTTTCTTATTGTTGTATATAGAGTTATGTATTTTCCATTTTCTGAAAAACAGCTTTCGCTTGACCTTTTCTGTTTTAATCTCTTTCACACATTTTCCATCTGATGATATGATTGTTCCCAGATATTTGAATTTATTGACTTGTTGACCTACCAGCCAAACATCTTCTGGTAACGAATCCGCCATTTTGATTAATAAAAAGACGGAAACGGATATCTTTGTGAAATTGTCGTTGGTGTAATAAATACTATCAGTGATTAGTGAAGATTATCAACACAGAACTCCGGGCAAATCACTAGGTTCTCCGATTTCCTCCTCCTTCCCCAATACATTGACAAGAGTAAAATGATCACGCCTATTCTGCTGTGATTATACAAACGTCTTGTGACCTACTAAAATGTTTATATCTGGCGTCTCCAGGCTCCACTCCCATATCCACCAGCATGAAAATGGATAATACTGGATCCTGCTTGTAGTCGTGATATTTTCGTGATATGCATTTCGCATGACATTAATGGCACCACTCCTGTCCAGTGCTGTGTCACTCATAGTAACCGCCTTTGCACGTCAACAAATGTTTAATGTTGAATTAGGAATCGACACCATAGCACTCGGGAAACTCCCAAGCCATTATCGCTCCGTCCCCATCTTCAGCAGCAAGCAAAAGGTTCCAATTCCGATGACACCAGTAATTGTCTGACTGTATATCCGTCTCGCCCTTCCCCTAAGTATTGAGCGCCGGTAAGATCTAGAAACTCCTCGCAGCGCAACTCTCCTCGAGCCGTAATGTGTGCCTCCGCACTGTTCACTTACTCCCAAAGGGCCTTCACAACACCTTGCTTGTCATACATCAATTCCCCACCAAGAGGAGCAAAGCCGGCCAGTTTATCTGCCCTGGAAAAATTATCACAGGGACGCTAACTACCCGTGAACTCTGAAGTGATGCTTGCCACTCTGCATGGTGCATGTCTGTCTCCACCTTTCTGTACATGCTGTGTGTGTCAGTTACAGTCACGGCATGTGTGTACAAATATATACACATATGTATGTGCACTCCAGAAAATATGTACACCTATTGTGTCTTGACTCAACTCAACTCACATCACCTCAACTTAATTCACCTTAACTCAACTCACCTCACTTCACCTCAACTTAACTCACCTAAACTTAACTCAACTCACCTCAACTTACCTAACCTCAACTCAACGCACCTCTTGAAGGTCTTGTTTCCTCATAGTCTGTTTGTTTCTGTTTCCAGTCCTGTTTTATTATTTATGTCCACCTTGTCCAAATAAAGGCTAGGCAAGTTATTCGCGATGCACTGGGCCAATCATTTCTTGTCTGATGAAGCCGGTCTGGATTTCCTTAAGCATATTCATTGAAAATAACTAAATTTAGATTTTAGAGTTCCAGATTTTACTCAGGTTTTTACAAAAATTACGATGACGTGCCAGTGCGTGTCATAATTTCTTTGGGTGGGTGAGAGGGATTGGGATGGGGGGGGGGGGCGTGTCCCTGGCTCCTTTCCTGAAATTTTTCAAAAGTAGAGCCCAGGGGACTAAGTCACCGGGTTTGGCGGCTGTTGAAGATGTCACGATCATGATGATGATGATGGCGATTATGATGATAATAATGATGAACTATACCTGATGATTTAGAAAAATAAATATTTAATTCGTTTACCCTTAATCCCTTTTTTTAATGCTTATCGTATGCACTTCCGTTTGTTTTGGGGAAAGGTAAACAAAGTCTGGCCGGGATAACCGTTAATTTCTCAATTGTTATGTCAACATTCTCCACGGCAAACAGCAAACAGCTTAGACAGGCTGCATACTTCTGAGATGGACGGTGCAAAAGAAGCAGGCGTTAACGGCTCTGACGAAGGTAAAAGCTAACGGATGGGCTGAATTTATCCTTATTTTTTAACTATATTAATATTATATTAAGTATATTACGGCTCTACTTTGAACTTCCGCATAAAATGGCGGCCGTAATATGATGGCACATTCTGGCCATAAAATATCAAAAAAATATCCGAACGGTGTTCAGGCGTATCTAAAATACGGACTTTTTGCCAAGGAACAAATCGCGGCAAAACTAGGATTACTTGATAATCAATTTCAACATTGCACAGGGTAGTAGCAGACGATAAATACCGACCGTTGACAATTTCAAGCGTTTCTGCAGACGATATTAGTGACCTTTGACCAATTTCGAGACATTACAGACGATGAAAGCAATACTGTGTTCTTCCGATTGGAGGATTTAGCAGCGGTAGATGTCAGACTTGTTGGCATGCGCAAAACGCAATTAAACTCATCGCCGAGCGTTTCCCCCGCGCTGCTAAACTAGGTGCCTGGGACTCAGGAGTAAAGTAATTGGAGGAAGTTGCAGGAGATGCTGTAGCTGCCGCTCGTGAGTCCCAGCAATCTAGTTTAGTCCCCATCGGCGCTGCGCATAGCTGGCGCGGGGGATACGATCGGCGGTGAGGGCACACTCGTAGAAGCAGGTCCGCAAGTAACGTATCGCTGAGACCCTGTTAGAGCATTTGCTTCGTTATGCGGAGCCGGCACATATATTTTTAATAGAATTGAGCCCCATTAGGATATTTTTGGATATTTTATGGCCAGAAATTGGCCAATTTAGCTCTCTTTCGAACGGCATCATATTGCGGCCCCCATTTTATGGGGAAGTTCAAAGTAGAGCCACTATGGCTCTACTTTGAACTTCCCCATATTACGGCCATCATTTTATGCGGAAAGTTCAAAGTAGAGCCACTATTACTACTCTACTCATCGTCATCATGTAACGGGTGCTTTGCAGAACGTCGCTCTCATCACAGTCTGCCTGAAAGAAACTCAGTCTCTCGCCAGTTCTCCCGCCTCATGCACTTTCACACTCAAGGAGTCACTTATATCCTGTGCCCATATTCGTGTCGGTCGGCCCCTGCCCCTCCTTCCTGGTACCATGCCTTCTGCTATAATTTTTTCCAATCAGTCATGGCGCTTGATATGACCAAAATATTTCAGCTTTCATGACAAGATACTGTTTATTAGCCAATCTACCTTGATGTTCAGATCTTTTAAGAAGTCCATATTTCTCATCTTCTTTGTCCAAGATATTCTGATAATCTTTCTATAGCATTTCAGCTCAAAAGCCCCTATTATCTTTCTTAAGGACACTACTCCACTGAATACAGTTTTCAGTCTTGTGTGCGATAACTGATTTTGCTTACGAGATACACCTGGCCAGACTGAAAGGGAGCAGATCCGAGGACACATTAGAGGACTCATGAGCAAAATACCAAGGAGAATGAACCGGACGGAGGATGATCTACGAGTAAAAATATCAGGAAGATAAGGACAGGAGCAACACGTTGGGACACAAAAAAGGAAGTAGCCCTCTCTGTCTGGCTGGGGAAAGGAATATTAAACCAGAGAGCTGGCGCACTTACCACAGTATTAGCCACGCAAGTGGAGCAAATAAACTACACTATAAATATAAGCAAAGATTGTTGGCGACTCGCTGCGAGTAGCAGGTTAAACGTGGTCGAGTTTTGTGTGTGTATCTGTGTAGAATGGAATGGGGCTATCCTCAGAATAACGGTCCCAAATTATCGAGGCTAAGAAAATACCCTAACCGGGCCTCATTCATATGTAAATTGTGGACTTATTTTCGGAGACTATCCCGCCACCATCAAGAGTATCCCCCACACCGCACCTAGCGGCACTCAGGTGGGGGGGGGGTAAAACTAGATGGCTGGGACTCACGAGCAAATAAAATAGAGGAAGCTGCAGGAGATGTGGTAGCTGTTGCTCGTAAGTCCCAGCCATCTAGTTTAGCTCCCAACCTCGGCGCGGGGCAAACTTTTGGCAGTGACTTTAACTTGGCGGAAGCGTTTCTGCGGTATGCGGTATAGTCGCTGAAAAGAGGTCCGCATTTACATATGACTGAGCCCCTGTAAGGGTATTTTCTTAGCCTCGATAATTTGGGACTGTTATTCGGAGGATAGCTTGAATGGAATAATTGATTTCATTGCGTTGTTCAGCTGTTTTTGTTTTGTTTTTAACCACACAGCATACAGCTTCGATATGCTTCTTATTTCTGATATCCCTGAGTGGGTTCCAGGACTCCATTTTGGAGATCAGAGAAGACTGAACAACCCCCCCCCCCCCCCCCCCCCCCAACCTAGCAAATATGTCGTTGGAGGTGACTGATTGGAGGTGGGTGTGCACCCACCTGCCTGAGAGGCAAAAAAGCAACTGTCTGCACACATCGTACAGATAAGCCAGATCTTTAAAATTGACGTGCATGCAAAACTCAAATTCTGGATCAATGCAAAGTCCAGGAGTGGATGATCAACCTGAACTGTCTGCCAGTTTACATAGATGGTACAAAAAGAAGCAGATTGTAACAGTTCTGGATTAGTTAACATGAGTGCTGATCTTTTCTTTGTTTTGTTTGTTTGTTGAACAATGATGTTCTTTTGCAAAACCCATTAGACAACAGCTTACTTTACCACCACTATAGGGGGCCCCAATGTAACTGTTTTATACGCTTGTTCCTCACGGATGCTCATCTACCGAGTAGCTCTTTGAGTCAGTCAGTCTTTGACATTGCAGTTCTGGCGGGTAAAGTTAAAAAAAAAAAAACGGCCTTTCGGCGCATTTTATATGGGCAGAGCGTCCCATATTTTTTCCTCAGCACTCGGTAATGTGCTGATTACGCCGAGTAGCTCTTCCCAGGACAGATCCTGGTCATTTTAGGGCTTGGGGGTCGACCTGCGATGTCCCATACCACGACAAAAATCCACGCAGTTCTGCAGTGGCGATCGGTAATGCTGGCTTAATTCGGAAACGCCTTAAAACGGACGCCGCTGCAGTTCTGGTGGGTAAAGTTAAAAAAAAAACTGTTTTATACGCTTGTTCCTCACGGATGCTCATCTACAGAGTAGCTCTTTGAGTCACTGTGTGTCAGTCTTTGACATTGCAGTTCTGGCGGGTAAAGTTAAAAAAAAAAAAAGAAACTAGTATTCATATATATTGCACATTCAGGATCTTAAATATAAATTATCTTAAAACCTGTATAAGAAATAATAAATATTTAATGTCCTAGATACTGCTGATGCTAGTGAAACTGAAGACAAGTCTAAAAATAACAACAAAAACCATGGAAATTCCTGTTCTGGACAGCGCACAGAAATTAAAGAACAGTAAGTCATTTGCTTTCACTTCTTGGCATTCACTGGCTGTAAACTAGTGGAAAGTTCTGGTTGTTTGTCCACGTTGTACTTTCAGGACCTGTGTGTTGCATGTACATCCATTTTACAGGTCTAGCTTATTTATGTGTAGAAAGGTAAACAAGATGTGGCCGGGAGAACCGTTAATTTGAGAATTATTATGTCAGCATTTACACATTCTCCTTGTCACACAACAAGTAGCTTAGACAGACTTCGTATTTCTGAGATGAATGGTGCAAAAGAAGCAGACAGTGGCAGTGCGAGGACATTCTCGTCAGATGGCCAAACCATCTCATCTATTGCTGTTTAACTAATTCTGTGACTGGTTTCAGCACTAGTTTTCTTACTTACTTATTTAGTCGTTCCTCTTCTGCCTTGGGGTGTAGAAGTTTGCAGTAAGATCTCCAGACATCTCTATCAGCAATTTTTTTTACCGAGCTTTGTTCCATTCCAGTTCTCTGTCAGTTAGGGACTGTCGAATGTTGTCTTCCTAGTGGACCCTTCTTCACCCTGCAGGTCCGGTTCCCTGGTTCTTAGCCTCCCATTCCTGCCATGGTAGGCAAATTTTCTCCCATTCTGCATACATGTCCAAACCATCGTAATGGTGACTGATCCAATCAGGTTTGTAAGGAACCTAGTTTCCTCTTATTTTAATTGTAATGTGGGATATTTTCACCCTGATTGAGAAGGTTGGGGGGGGGGGGGGGGGGGGAATGCCCCAGGGGCACCATAAAACCATGAGAAGCCAGTTACGCAAATAAAACGAAGTTCTCAAGAGGGAACGACCACTTGTTACCAGCTGGAACCCAAGGAGAACAACCACGGGTCGCCACGTGGACCCCAAGGAGAACGACCATGTGTTGCCACGCGGAACCAACACTAGTTATAAGATCAGGACCACAGTCGATCAGACAGTGTGTGTTGACTGTTGGAATGAGAGGGCGTGTGTGTGATCCAGTGTGAATGAGGACGTGAAACTGATTGCTTCAAGAGGACGACTAGACTACAACATTCATCAAAGTAAAGTCCACCCAACTCAGTTGCGGGAACCCACGAACGCAGTGACCAGAGTCATCCATGCGGAAATATTGAAGTGAAGACGGAGAACTCCAGAGTGTGAATGCGTCAGGGTTCAATGTACTGGTGTCTGAACGATGTGTTGCTCGTATGCTGTTGAATAGGACACAGACTGGACATATTGTGTAAGTGCTTAAATGTTAATAAACAGTCATGTATCATAGAGATGGTGTCTACTCGTAACATCTATGTCTTTGTAGAGTGTCAGTTATATCATCCATTAGACTACACCACTAGACAACAGCCAAAGGACTGAGCAGACAATTATTGCATTAATTAACTGCACTTGATGGATCTTATGGGAATCGCTGTGGCGGTAGTGGCTAGACACTCGCTTGCCGATTGGAAGGTCGGAGTTTCGCTCCCTGGCAGAGCCCAATTTTTTTTCAAAAATTACCTTGTCTCCCAGGTCTACCCAGCCTTGATGGGTACCGGGTGCAGTCCTGGTAAGTAAACACGGCCGGCGTGAGGCTGACCACATCACCCATCTTGTGCCGATTGGTCTATAAAATAAGGTCTAGCCCTATATGCCAGATAAGCCTAAAGGCGTAGAAAAGGGTCCTTTACTTAACTTACTTACTGTGAATCTTGTTATATTTTACAACCAAGCGATAGATTCTTGCCTGTTACTTCACAGGATGTACCAGGATAAACTAGCCCACATCAAGAAACAAATTGGCATGTTACAAGAAGGTTCTCTTCCAGAATTTCTCAAGAGAACAAAGAAGATTGAGCTGCATTACAGAGAGAGACTGAGACAGAATGAGATCAACAAGATGGTTGAGGTATAACTTTGATATTTCTAACTACTGCATTGGACGTTGATTGAACTAGGAGCTCAGGCAATAAAGTTGTTGTTACGAGTTTGCTTCCAAAAACGCAATAAAGAAAGCATGTTAATAATATATCTCCCTTCCTCTTATGGGTTCTATGGCCCTGTTGCAGTGGGATGGGGGGGGGGGGGGGGGGGGGGGGGTTGATACCCCCTGCCTTCCACACTCCCCTGCCTCCAGAAAGCATGCTGTAGAAGACGGCTGATTAGGGGTATTTCCTTTGAGATGAAAGAGCATCAGCCTGAGATACAAATAAGCCAGATCTATAAAACAGGTCTGCATGCAAAAACTAGGTTCTGGAACAAGACTAAAGTCTAGAAGTAGATAAATAACCAGAATTCTCTGTCAGAGTTTACAGCTGATGAATGTATAGAAGACAGAAGGATGACTGCAAAGTTATGTTGACAACTAGTGATAGACAGCAGATTTACGATGAGAAAAGACACCCAAATTAGACAGGAAACAACGCTGAGAAAAACCGATTAAAGTATAAGCGGCTAGTCCTTTCTTTGGAAGCCACAGGACACAAATTAATAATGAGAGATCTCAAAACATGGCATAGATGAGTTATATGGGGATGAGACAAATGGAATTATAGAAGTTAGAAAGAAAAATAGATTGATTTAGTTTTGAGTTGGTTGAGAGCCTAAGCTCCTTAAGAGAAAAAAAAATGCAAAAGTTTTGTTTCTTTCCATTTATCTATATATGGCTGTTGTTCTGATAATAGATAGCTAGCATACTTTGGCTCCAGGGTATGCTGGTGTGTTGGAAAGTGAACAGGCATACAGTTTGCTGGTTCTGCACCACTGGGTGGTGACTTGATGCATATTAAGCTAAAGGTGGTCAAAGATCTTTAGGAGCAAGTGAACAATGCAAAAGCGCAAAATAGATTCTTATGTTCAAGAAAGAATGGTGCCGCGGGCAGTGATCAGGGGATCAGGCTGACATTGAACATCCAGTCTCAAGTCTTAGTCGAGGTTTAAGCTTTCCTGCAATCGGGTTTCCCCATACTTGCTCTGTTGCGAATGAAATTCAATGTCTTTTGCTGTCTCATTTACAAAACTGGTGAACAAACAAATAGTCCCGGAACAATTCAGAAATCTGCACATGCAATAATTGCATATGGCAGTTGCTAGAGGTGCCAAAGCCAACAGTCATGACCATAAATGCAGTTTGTCATTGATGGAAGTAGACAGGCATGATAAGTTGGCTATACACACATAGAATTATTACATAAGGTATTTCGCCAGCTCACACGTAAACTGGCTACCGGCAATTTTGTCATGACACAGTCGCTGCACAAATGAAAGGCATTCCACAGGAAAAACACAGCTGATAGGGCCGCACCAAGCACTAAACTCAGTAGCTCAGGCAGCGAAACTGTAGACTACGCCCAAATTCAGAAACTGCATTATCAAAGCACAGCTGGGAAAAAAATTACTTTAAAGCTACAAAATCTGCCGAGCCTAGTTGTCCATTTTACTGAAAGTAAAACACTGAGCACTCAGAGGAAAGGCAACACAGAAATACATTCAGGCTGCTACTGGTACCATAGGAATGGGAACTCTGTGCTGACTGCTGGAGATGGGGCTGAAGCACTTATGGGAATGTGCTGAATAATATAAAGTCAGTTCTCAACTCTTAACCTACCTCTGATAATATTCACTTTTACTGCTGTGACTGTTTCAGGTTGAGATAGTAGACAGAAATTACCAGACAGACTGCAACAATGCTCAGAAAGAATTTGAGGTGTGTTTTCATCTATTATGCTTTTATGTGGTTTTGTTTTTGTCTATAGTAGTTTTTATTTTTCTTGTGGAAAGTCCTGGTTGTTTGTCCACTTTTGGACTTTGATCTTCTTCCAGGTCTTCTGCACAGTAGCTTTTGATATATGTCTGGGGTCCTAATGGAGCATCGATGCGCTATACAAGACTCTTAATGTCTTTAAGGTGGTGGACCCTGTTCTTCCCAGCAATCCAGTTGAAGGTTGGGGTCTCAACCCCCAGCGGGAAACTGGATGGGACAACAAATGGGGTAAAGGCGAAAGATGAATGGAGGAGCCTACTCTCCTCGAGTATGATCACAGTCTACCCTAGCAAAACAAGGTGCTGAAGTCGGAGGCAACCAGCCAGGAGGGGCACCACAGCAATCAGGAAGCCACTCACATGCGCCATGATGGCGAACGAAAGAAGAATAAGATATCTGTCTATTTGTGTGCAGCCTGTTCATTCCTTGCTTCACAGGCAGATCCATTCCAGCTTTGAAGGAAACATTGGTCTTGTCTAGGTTTATGTGACCAATCAACATGGCACAAGGGTAGCAACCCATAAGAGCTCCGCTCTATTTCTGACTCAAGCCTGAGTCCAAAGAATCTCAGTGCAGTGCATGAA